ATTTTTAAAGATGCTCAGACAAAAAAAAAATCATTTTTAATCAAATTATAGGTAGATGTAAGCAAGTATTTCTCTTTTGGCTATCCTACGTTTTCACTTACGCCTGCACCCCTATTCATAATAGATCCTAAATGTTCTTCCTCTGTTAAGTTAAGGTCTCGACAATATGCCCATGATAATAATATCCTTTAAAAAAGGCTGTCCAGGTTCACTTCAAAACTTGCTTGATTTCTTATGTAATCAGTTTGTCTATATTTATGTTGTTGTTTTTTTGTATATCAGACTGGATCACAATATTATTTATTATAAGTGTTGTTTTGACGTAGATATTGAAGATTTTGTCTAAATTAATATGATCAACTTATGAAAACAATTATCCTTTATATTGCATATTAATTATATTGCTATTTTACTGTTAGTGCTAAAGTGAAACATGCATAAGATGCTCAACTAACTGCGTTTCTAAATGATTATTTTAATCATGGACAGAAAGATAGGATCTTGAGAAGCTCTGTTAATTTTTTTAATGGAAGCGTCTTTCGATAAGTAAAGGCTCCAGGCAGCAGATGACATATTCTGTTTATTTTATCGAGAAGGACATCTAACATTTCTTTATTTTTATTGTTGTCTACATTTGCTTCGTTATCTGCCTTTGAAAATCCTCAAACTATCTCACCGATGATTCTGTTTATGTTAAAAAGGATTGTTTGAAAATTTGGTCCCGAAAGGATAAGCTTTTTGAAACTTTAATCAAGATAATTCTTCTTCAACAAGTATGCTTTGTCTTCGCTTGCAGCTGTCCATATGTTGCAAAGTAACTTGTGTTCTGTTGTTATGCCGGTTTTGCTCGAAGTGATTATACAAGAAGTTGCCGATCGATGTCATTCTCATTTATATGATGTATGTGCTTTCAATCCCGTTTTTTTTCTTTTTCTTTACCGTAACCGTACCTACACACTACTTGTTGCCTTCTTCACTTTCTATTCCGTGTACTACATTTTTGCCTAAACAAGAAGTTTTATCAAAAATCCTGCATAAAAAGATTGCTTATTATATTTGGTTGATGATTTATTTGGTAAAAGATATGTAGAAGAATAGTTAGTTGTCTTACTGCTGCCAAGATCTTATGACGAACACCTAATATGGAATGTTCATTTTCCTTTTATAAAACTGAATAGATGTATGATAATTTTGAACATAGCATCTTGCAAGTGTAGTTTTTGGACTTAAGCATACATAATTCTGGCGTAACAAAGGGTGTCATGACTACTCGTTCGGTTGCAGTCCAATGCGGCTTTTTCTTCATTTCATCCTTGATCGAGTCACGAAGTGCTTGGTTAGATGCATGCTGATGTCGTGACATTATGGCGTCATTTATTAGCATTTCAAGTCTGCTGCTATCTTTTCGCAGCAGCCTGCACAGTGTTAGAAAAAGGTATTTCTTTCTCTCAATCTTTGCATCTCAGCAGATCTCTTCTTTTCTGTAGGGTTGAGCTGGCAGATGACTCCTCTGAATCAGTTTTCTCGTATCGATCTCAAGAGTGAGTTCGTCTTCTCTCCTGTAAACTAACCCAGATACCTTGAGTAAGTACTTGTATGGCAGGTGGTCTTGCTAATGTCATCTCCACTACCGGGTTTGTGACTGGTATGTCTTCAAGTGGTGTACTATCTCTGCAAAGTTTTGCCTCTACAACAAGTGAATGTCCTTCGGATTGTTTGACAAGCTTGACTGCCTACACAG